AAAGTGTGTAGTAGGGCAGCCCTCGTAAAGATGTTTCTAGTCCACCAATAGTCGTCAATTAAGGCGATTAGTCCACTTATCGTCGCACGTTTATAATACATTATGATTCTAAATGTATATATTTAAAAAAAGATTTTGCCCAAAATGGTTTCAGTTTCAAAGGCTGATAAAGAGCGTTATTATAACAGCATGGCTCGTTGTGCTTCACATAAAATATATAATAAAACTGTAATAATGAACCTTTGAAATATAAATTAAATGTAGAGAGCCATGAGAGTCACAGCACACGGACGCAGCTCCGGTAAGGATTCTTATTGCCTTAATCCATCCGCCTTACGCCCTTATCATGAAATTAAAACGTTATCGTTTTCTGAGGTCAGAATGATTATACATTATAGGTCTATATGTTGATACAAAGCCAGGCTACTTACTGTCTGACTCACTGCAGCTGTTTTCCTCCGAGTCTGAGAAAGTAACACACGTTGAGGGGATAATTAAGCTCTGTGTTTTGTTATGAAGCCGGCATTCAGGAAGCTGCGCTTTGATGGCGTGGATATGGAGGAGACTATTTGCCATCGTAGTTTGCATGTCACCTTGTGGGACTCGCCCTTTACTCGCTCAGAAAGATCTACACTTTAGATTTCCTGCCCGACCAAATTAACTTAATATACAGGCTCCGCTCTGAATGAAGTCTGAGGGGGTTTCCAGCTGACGCGTCATAGCACATGCAGCGAGGTTTATTTTTTATTTGTATATACTTTTTTTTTTTCTTCAACTAATCGACTAATGAAAAATTGCTCAGTTAAGACTTAATTAGTCGACTAGTGATTCATCAACTATTTGGGGGCAGCCCTAGTGTATAGTCAGTATATTTGAAATGGCTAGGTTAGCTATGTTAGCTAGCTAGCTTACAGCAGATCTGCAATAATATCAGAAGGAATCATAAGATCACATTGGTAAAATAAGCAGATAAAGCAGACATTTGAGGTAAGTTTCCAGTGACAGTTGGCCAACTTTACAATCCCCATCAACAAGCGCTCCGGTCCCAGCTGTATGCATCACTGTTCTAGTGTCCCTGTTGTGTGTTGAGCTTCTTGCAGCATTTTGTTTATGCAGCGCTCTTCATAACCCCTGCGCATGTGTTTTCAATGCCACCATGTTTGATATGGTTCAATTTCAGGAAGTCATCAAATACTAACCATTTGGACTATTGGACCGTAGCCATGGATATGGTTTAGGAAAGATCACAGCCATGGTTCCAAAAACCTTAACTATTATTTGAGTGTGAAACACATATTGTATCTCTGTTGTCCGAGAGAGGAAGTCGGCCTTTTTCACTTTCTTCCTGATCAAGCTAAAAAACGTATTTCCCCAAGTGGACAAATACAATACATTATTATTCTTATTACGTTTTCCAAACTAATTTAGCAGAATGAAAAGTGAAACCATCCGCAGTGAGCTGAAGTAAGACAAGCACTTTTAATGTCATTTCAAATTTGATGAAGGGTTATAGAGTCTTGGTCTGTCATATGGGGAAAAACAACTGGGTTCAAGTGAGGACAGCTGGTAACAGCTGGTTTACCCAAAATCGAATTACTCACTTTGATATGATTTCTTTGTTCCTGTTAATGTCATTGTACTTGACCAGTAACACTTTTGTATCCTAAATCTATCAATCTTATCTGCTTCATACATTTATCTTTCTTTATCAGGTTCTAATTTTAGATTTTTGTTACAAAGCACTTCATCAAAACAGACACAAACTGCCTCACAAAATAAATTAAATCATGACATGAAACACTAACCTTGACAATACAGTATACCTAATGCACAATAATGAAAACAATTCAAGTAGCACTAACAATAGTAGCATTTCTAGAAAAAAGTAGAAGTTGAGTAGCAGCAATAGCATTAGTAGACATGGTATTAGTGTTAGTTAAATGCAGATGCAATAATACAAGCAGAGGTAGAAATGGCCATAATTGGATTAGTAGTAGAGGGGAAAAAAGTACCTCAGATCATGTACTTAAAGGGGACCTATCATGCAAAATGCACTTTTTGATGTCTTTTATACATAAAGATGTGTCCCCGGTGTGTCAGGGAACTCACGCAGCGTCAGTAAATAAAATCCTCTCTCTTTTCCTCCGTACCCACATCTCTAAAAACTGGGCGACAACGGAGCTGATCCAGATTTGCGTCCGATATGACGTAATATCGGAAATGTAGGCTGGCTTTACACCCACGGCACTATCAGAAACGTTGCTATCAGAAACAATGCCCGACTGTTTTGGACGTAATATGGTCGGTGCATGTTTACATTAGCATCGCTAACACTCAGAGCTAACCTGTACTGGAGAGAGCATGTGTGTGAAGAAGCAGGAAATAAAAAGGAACTCACCTTGTGGTATAACCGGCAAAAGAGAAAGCCTTTGAGCTCCAGACTGTTTCAGAAATAATCCTTGATAATCCATGATATGGCGTTTCATCACCGCAGTATCTGCCGGTAGAATCTCCCGCATGAGCTCAGCCCCCTCCTTCTTTTTTTTTTATATCAATTTCTCTTTTTTTAAAGCTTTATACCCCAAATCAGCACTTTTGAAACAGGAAGTGAAATAGAGGGATATGAGGCATGGCTAGAATGGGTGATCTGTTTGGTATTTTGAGCAAAACACTTCATAGACATGTTTTTTATATATCTCTATATATCTGAGACCTACCTACCTGGCACCTATCATGCTATTGCCTAAAAATAGCATGATAGGTGCACTTTAAGTAAAAGTAGAACTACCAGTCTAAACAGACTCTGTTACAAGTAAAAGTCCTGCAATCAACATCTAATTCAAGTAAAAGTACAAAAGTACTAGCATCAAAATATAGATAAAGTGCCAAAAGTATAAGTACCAAAAGAGAAAGTAATCATCCATTTCAGAATAATATGTATCATGTGTTTTGATTATAAATATTAATGCATTAGAGTATGATTAAAGCTTGTGGTGGTAGAATAAATGCAGGAAAAGCAGCATTGTTAACAGTAGATGTGGCATTACCTTTTGTATTAGCAGTAAATGTTGCAGTGGGGCTGTAGTTTGAGAAACTTTTCAGTAATCAGAGGAACAGTATGTCCCTGTAACTGTAAACGAACAGACTCCAAACTGGACCCATCATTTCATTCATTGGAACCAGGAGCTGCAACTTGCCCTGGGCTAGCCAAGGAGACCTGGGGCCTCATTTATAAAGCGATATACGCTCAAAAAATGGCGTACGCCAGTTTCTACGCAATGTTTGCGATTTATAAAATACTAACTTGATGGGAAAACGTGCGGTCCTCCACGCAAACTCTAACCCATGCGTACGCACTAAGCACAAAAACGGGAGAGACGAGAAACTGCGACACCGTTGGCAGAAGGAAGAATGGAGAGAAATATGTGGAAATAATACCATAAATAGAACGTTACCTCTCATTTATCATATGAAGAATTCATGTTCAAACATTGATTAAAGCCAATCTTAAAATGATTAAACAAACGCCTGTTTGAGACTCCTCAGTGCACACAAAAACATAACTTGGAGAAATAAATAAATACGGATATGTTATTTAAAACCACCTGGAATATGTTGTGTTAATGTTATGAAATGTTTTCTCATAAATGATGCGGTAAGCAGGAGGACAGAATTACGTCTAAACTGACGCCGTGTTGCATTTCTATAGGTTGTACGAGCATGGTTTTATACTACCATGTTTAATCGTGTTTTATGCCGTTTGCCAAGACTTGATAAGTCGCTCGTAAAACACAGGAGGTATGGAAGCTAAGAACACCATATGTGGTAAATTGTACAGCTAATATAACACAACACATTAGTTGTATTTCCTTTAACTGGTGGATATAGAGTTGCTGCAGTGGAGACGCTGCGCACAGCTGATCGACAGCTGGAACACAAACCACCAAATACAAAAACATAATTCAGATCCAGTCGTCATGACTCCACTCCGGAGGGATTCCCCGATCACTTCTTACAGTCTCTCATCAAGGGGGGGGTCTCCTGTCCACGGTACAAACACACTGCCTGAGGAAGGCTATGTGTATTGTTTTTGTCATTAACCTTTTTCGGGCCATTTATTTATTTATGTTGGTGACGATCCGACCTCCATGCTGCTACTCTGGTTCAAACTGCATCCACCAAACAATATGATTTATCTCGACCTCCCCAAAATAACCCACATCTGACACGGTGTGAGATGTCTTTTTTAGCTGTTCTGTCGTCATTTCCTGCGATCTTCTTCATGCAGTCAGTCAGAATGAATGAATGGGCGTTTCTTTGACTATTTATAGGCAAATATGGGCGTTACGTGAAGCCCGCAAAAGCTGCACCGCATTTCGAGTCGGTTGTGATTTATAAAGGGAAACCGGCGTAGGAAGTGCCATACGCACTTTCCTTGCCGGTACGCAATGTTTGGTGAATCGGGAAGTGGCGGAAAATGTATGGACCTATTTTTCGGAATCCTACTACGTAAGCAACCTTCCCACGTGAATCCTACGCACGGCGTTATACATGAGGCCCCTGGCCTCAGTTTGGACGAAGTAGCTTTTTACCAGGCCAAGAAGGCTGCGCTGGCCTTGTACCCAGCTTAGTCCTTCAGTTTTTCCTGGGATTCATTGGTCTGTCCCACGCCAAGTCAGGTAAATGAAGAACTGCTGAACCAGAAGAACTGCGGAACCGAAATAACTGAGTCGTATAGACTCTTTATTTACCTTTTATTCGAAAATGTAATGGGTTCAAAATATAATCGTATTAAAATAACACATATTACATTAACGTTTGAGTTCCTAGCCGAAAGCATTCTTGCCCATTTTGATAATCATGCTAGTGGCTAATACATAAAAAAAACATTTGGTTTTCCTTACTTTAGTGGACTTTTATTTTTGAAAGCCTTGCTCAAACACTTGAAACCACCTAATACCCGCATAACTGTTGCAATTCTGTATTTTCTTTATCCCCAGTAAACGTCCCAGCCACAGTGGTAGAAGCGATGACCAGGCAGGAGTCCCTTCAATCCTTCAGCAAGAACGGCAAACCTTCCTCCTCCTCGTCTTCCTCTTCGTCCACCCCCTCCACCGCACACATGCGCTCCATGGTCTTCCCCCATTCCCCCTGTCCAAGGAATTTCTCCCTGTTAGACAAGGTTGGGGTTGGGCTTTCCTCGGACTCCAGTTTCGGCCAGTTGGGGTTAAAGAACCAGCGAGTCCTGGCAAGCCCGACCTCCACCAGCCAGCTGAGCAGTGACTTCAGCGACTGGCACCTGTGGAAGTGTGGCCAGTGCTTCAAAACCTTCACCCAGAGGATCCTGCTGCAGATGCACGTGTGTCCGCAGAATCCAGACAGGTAAGAAAACATCTATTGAGATGTTGGCGTCCATCTTTATTAACAAAATAGTTGGAGGTTATGTTACCTCTGTATGAGCAATGTGAATCCTAGATAAACTTATACGGAACATTACCAACAAATTGCCCAAGAAGATGGTGTTCCCAATGTTTACCATCCACCTTTTCCCACTCAAGCGTATCAACCTGAAACAGTATTTGTAAGCGTTAGACTGGTAAATTGTATTGATTAGATAAACAATTCCTGCTCAACTGTTCGCTCCAGTGTGAGAATGAGAAAGACCTGATGATTTAACTTCCTATCTACACCACTTTTTTTTTAGCTCCGTAAAATGAAAAGATAAAAACCGGCTCAATCAATTTTGTTGTACTCAAATTAAATATTGTCATATGAGTACATACCATTGTATCATATTTAAGTTTTGGACTCCATAGTTCAAAATTCTGAGTACAAACTTTGAGACAATAAAGATAATAATAATAATTTTAAAAAATGAGGATGTATTGGATTTTGACTACTAAAGAGTACATCAATCAGTGTGTGGGAGAGAAACTCCCTCTAGAGCAGTGGTTCTCAAAGTGGGGGGCGCAGAGGCATGCCAGGAGGAAAAATGGTTATACAAAAAAAAAAATCATAATTTGAAAAATTATTGATTTTAAAATAATATGATGCAGTACTATTACGTCTGGGTCTCTGTGTTTCATTAAAGCTCGGCTCTGTGTGTGTGTGGAACGAGCCATTTTGTGTGCGTGAGCGAGAGAGAGAGAGCGAGCGCACCGGTACCGGAGATCGTTGTTGTTAGCTTCTGGTGCTAGCGAGCTACGCTAACGGATATAAGGAGTTTTTTCAACAACAAAGTGGAGGAGAGCTCTCCTGTCAGACTGAGAGACTCAGTGAGCTAAAGGACTCTCTCAGTGTTATCTCAGTGGGTCTCAAATGTTTTGGTCACCATTAATGGAAACAATTATTTCCGAGTCACACGTTTATATGATCATTATAGTTATAAAAAAATAAGAGGATACATGAAAAACAGGTATGAAATACTATATGATATTAAAAAAAAAGAATAAAGTTTAAAAGGGTGATTTGTAAAATATCCATAAAGAAAAAGTAAATCTGTTTACAGTTCTGTTTCAAATGGGTGCTGAGAGATGTATCCATAGATCTCTTCATTTTGCTCTCAACGTGCACCAGATTGATGCTTTTAACTTCAATATTTAAAAATAAATCTTCCCGAGAGAGCTTGCCCCCGGACCTATGTGAGGTCCACACACCACCTATACAAATAGCACTTTACCCCTGCTTACACCTATATGCCGTGAGCTGATTATCTAGCCTTCATTGTAACAGTTGCGGTACACTGTGTAGACAGTACACTGTGTATGTGCGTGGGGATTGTTGCAGTAGAAAGTTCCACTGTAGCGACCAGTACATTAATGGGAAACCCTAAATGTTTGAGCACCCTCTATGAAACGTCAAGCTACCCCACAGCACCCCCAAAAGACATCTCTGGCGCCGCCACTGAGCCTGACTATTTGTGTTATTATTTTTTTCTCCAACAGAAAACGTTTGAGAACCACTGCTCTAGAGGGAACTTTGGGATTTTAGCCTTTGCAGACCATTTATATTCACACAAACCTAATAACACACTACAGGAAAGGGAAAACCCCAAAAAGCACAATAGGGCCTCTTTAAGAAAGTGTTTTGAATACATGTGATATGTATTTACAACATTGGAAGCCACTCTTACAGATTTATACAAATAGCCTATTTAGACAAAAGACTGAGAGACTAAGATTGTTTCCTATAACTTGAAATGACTTGAGGGACAATTCAATTGTTTCTTAAAGGTGGGGTAGATAATTTTGGAGAAACCAGCTCGAGTGCGCTAGAATTTGAAAATACACAACCGAAAAAATTCTGCCACTTCCTTACAGAGCCCCTCCTCCAACACACACGAACGCACACATGACCAATGAGGGCATGAGATAAGTTTGTGCACAGATGGAAGGCTGACAGGCCGGTAGGCCATCCAATCATTTTAGCCGGTCCGGCTAAAATGATTGGTCGTGCTTTTTACAGTACTACGGCTTCCACAGATGCATTTTTGTATATATTTATTGTCAAAGCACTTAAGATATTCATTGCTATCGGGATGTTAAGAGCATTCCATGGAATATAACAAAAAGTGTTTCTGAAATAAATTACATACCCCACCTTTAATTTAATTATTTTTGGTAGGAAAACAAAATGACAGTTTGATGAGGGAATTCTTTTTTATTGCCATTAGTTCTTCGTGAGATTGATCCTGTTGGACTCAGTACTAGTGAACCCCTCACAAGTACTATGAAGTACTTTCTGTGTACTTTTCCAACAATCCTCTGTCAATGTCCCCTCCTGAGAACAAGAATGCATGTTTCTCTGCTATTTTGAATAAGTGTTAAAAAAAAACCTTTCTTCATGAGACTGATATTGTTGGACAGAGTATTTTAAGAGGATGGTAGACATGATATCAGCAATACTTCCAGTCAGTACTCCGGCAGCAGCATTTGTACCCCTTGGAAAGTCTTTAGAGTCTGGCCTGGATAGCTGGTCTATCCTTCAGCACACTGACACACTCTGTCACTCTTGTTGGCCTCTTATGAAGCTGCTGTCTTTTAATATATAATTATTTCTCCGCTCCAGTTCATTCCTCGCAGATTCTTCCATCAGTCCCAGTCATTGCATGTCAGTCAATAGCTTTGAAAAATGTGTCCAATTCAACTAAATGTTTTTTTGTGAGTGAAGGCCAGAGCTAAATTATAGATTGTTTGATTGTGTAATTACAAGGTGAGAGAAAATAAATCCACATCCTCCTATGAAACGTATTTTATTTCCTTTTCTTATACTGACTTGCATTAGAACATTTGCATGTTGAACTACATGCTGGATATCTTCCCCAGCCTCAAGGAAATACAATAAAATAAATGGATTCATAATTTTAAAAAATTGATACAAATGTATAAATTAATAATGTTGTGTGCAAACATTTCAAATTTAAATATAAAATGAAAAATAAGTTTACTTTTGAAATGATTTCTCACAAAAACCTTTCTAAATGATAGTAAACTATTAAAAAAGGTTTAGTGAATATACGTTTTTCTGCCTAAAATAGTTTATTAAACGTAAACTATATCAAACACCACATGCATGGCAGTTAACCCATTTGTGCCCGCTATTTAAATTGACTTTGGTTAGTTAATACAAATATTTATATTTATAATTGATGCAGTCTTACACTTTTTTTAAAAATACTGTAAATGAAGAATATTTTTTAATTGTCTGCACAGAGTGCCCTAATTTACAGCAGTTGAAAATATTTGTGGAAGGATAAATTCTTCATGGGCTTCAATGGCTCTCTCGTAAAGGGTGTTTTATGGTTGCTTGTATTATCCTCAGATAGTGGTTTGTTTAAATAACTAGTGACATTTTAATAAATATTGCAAAAAAGGGCTCCAAAAAAGGCATATATATATATATATATATAACCTGGCCGGCTTAGCCAGTATGTATTTCTTCAAGCACCACAAGATTCAGAGTTTATAAAGTACAATTCTGGGCCATAGATTGTGTCATTTCTCCAACACATACAGTACAAATGCCTGTTTTTGAAGCCTTAAAATGGTGCAGGAAAAGGACTTTACATTGTATTATACTTAAAGACAGGACTATTCAGTTAAGAGAAGAGAAAAAGGAAAGAAAACTGTTATAATGGGTGATGTAACATTAATGACAGACATAATATGAGGTCCTTGGCACTCAGACTCTAGAGGGGTCATTTTGTGATCATGGGGCATCACCCTTACAGCATCAGGACAATATCATAGGGAGTCAGACACTGGAAGTGTGCTGGAGGCGTTGACTGGGACTGATGGAAGGATGAGGCTGATGAGACTGAAGAATCTGTGACGAACTAGCGGCTGAGAAATAATCATATATTAAAAGACCGCAGCATCATAAGAGGCCAACAAGAGTGACAGAGTATGTCATTGTGCAGTCTACCATCCTCTTAACAATATCAGTCTCATGAAGAAAGGTTTTTTAACGCTTATTCAAGATAGCAGAGAAACATGCATTCTTGTTCTCAGGAGGGGACATTGACAGAGGATTGTTGGAAAAGTACACAGTAAGTACTTCATAGTACTTGTGGGGGTAGTTTCAGTAGTACTGAGTCCAACAGGATCAATCTCACAAAGAACTAATGACAATAAAAAAGAATTCCCTCATCAAACTTAGCAGAAGTGGCTTGATTTTGTTCTCAGCAGGGGACTTTGACAGAGTATTCCTCAAACAATACACAGTAAAAGTACTTCAATGTATTGTAAGTAGTAGGCTAACTAATACAAAGTCAAACAGTATCAATTTCATTAAGAACTAATGGTAAAATTATATTGTTATCACTCATCAAAGATAGCAGAAAAACATGCATTATGTACTATGGAGGGGACTCTGACAGAGGATTACTCACAAAGTACACAGCAAAAGTACTTCATTTTATTTCTGGTAGAAGTCAAATTTAGAACCGAGTCCAAGAGTGTCAGTTTCCTTAAGAACTTGTGGTAACACATATTTGTATCACTCGTCAAATATAGCAGGAATGAAGAGCAGCTGATTTGAAAAACAAACTCGAGAGACGGCGGAGTGACCGTAGTGCAGAACCGCTGTATAGTTTTAAATCTCCTAACAATGTTGTCCATTTTAGACACATGCTTATTATATTTACAGCCCTTAATAACATCCATTTTCTGGGCTCAATATGTGTCTTGGCCGTTTTCGTTGTGATCGCTAAATTCCCCTTGTTTATAATAATCGCCGTTCCTTCAGCAGGATACTGTAGTGATTCAAATGTGATTTTAGCAAACGAGTGCTTTTGTTTTTAAATCACTTCCGTGAGTTTGGCCCCGCCCCTCGCTCCAATGACCATTTACAGTAGTAAGGTAAAAAGCAAAAACGCCTCTCAG